AAAACAATACTTGTCTATAACTGTTAAAGCTTTTTATTTGAAAACATTGAATAGCATCAATATTACAAAATTTATCTATCTATCTAAATTTTATTTTATACCTATTCATTTTAATTTATGTGGGCATTTTATTAAGCTTTATAATATGTACTAGCACTAGTTCAAAATTTTTAAGGAATTTTTCTTGTTTTTTCTTGCAATTTACATCAATGATCTATTTATAACTGAAGATGGTGTTTATTAAAGCTAATTATAATTAGCTAATAATATATTGTATGCAATAATAAAATATAATACTATTGATGGGTTAATACAGTGCAGTGGCTTCAAATGAAATTAAAACTGGYAGTTCAAATAGTTTGATTAATYAAATGAATSAGGAATGGGCATAACTAATTAAATATTATACATAATTTAATGGCATTCCAGTGTTTAATACAATTATAACAGCAAGATTTGGAAGTACACTCAACTATTTTACCCACTCACCCAATTTTGAAGGCAGTTCAATTGAACTACCTAAAGTATGTAAATGGCACSACTGAGTTAATAGGATGATAATTATAAGTATAGTTTTSTGCCTTCAATGAAACATTCTTGTTCATAAAAGTACATTTTTTACTTTTTTTTTTCATTTTATTGTACAGTTGTTTGGTATTTTGTAATATTTACTTAACTATTAGTTGTTTAAAATGGAAACTAAAAGAAAGCCAAAGGGAGGTGCTTAGAAATCGTAGAGAGAAAGAAAATTCAGAAAAATAAAGTTGGAACAGTTTAAATATCAACTTATGTTTTTAATCCATTGTAACTCAGTTATAAAGTAATAGAAAATAAGTAATTCGTTATATTCTGTACTTAAGATAAATTACTAAACACATTGAATTATAATTTGTTTTCTGAAAAAATGTAAAAAATGGATACMTAGAGGACACAACTTCAAACTTTAGTCAAATATAGATTTCCCAGTATGTCCTTGCTCAAGACCAATTAAAAAAAAGATAAATTTAGCCAAGCATAGAAGAAATAATAGTCGAACTAAATTKCAATCATGATACATTTTTTTAAAACCGGTTTTAAAATTACGCCTCCGATTTAAATATGTAAATAAGTGTAAATGTATTAGGTAGGTCAAATAAATAAGGTACAATATATTTTTGAATTAATACAATATACTAAGCCAGCAGTTTTTAACCTGTGGTTTGTGGCTTACGATACTCATGTCGGGGGTCTGCAGCAGCCTTAACACCTAACATAAGTCAATATGTGACATGAGTTCATTATTATAATGTTTTAAGACTATTATTAATTTTTTTTTTACATAAAATATATCTTATATCGTTATGTATACTTCCTATAAATCTTAATATAAAATAAATGTTATAATTTTCAGATAAAATATTTTTTGTAAAAAAAAAGGTAGGCATTGACAAAAAATTGGGAGGGTCCGTGATTTCTAAAAATCTTTCAACGGGAATCCGTGTTGTAAAGGTTAAGAACCGTTGTACTAGGCTATACATCTACACATTCAAGCATAAAATATTTTCAAAATACAAATTTCTTATTTATGATTAATTATTGTAAATAATTTAAATGCAATCTGTACTTACCTTAATGAAATAGTCTATAGTTATTCTCTTACTTCAAAGCGTGGGTAATGAAAAATGAATCACAATAATTTAATCGAAATTAAATACCTATAAACATAGTATAAATATTACTTCAAGGAATATAAATATTTTAAAATATTGATAATCATTAGAGATTTATACTTTAATATAATGAAAAAATATTAACCATCCACTTCAGCGATTAACGATTAGGTAATTATGGATCAAAACATTTAACGGATTTAAAATAGTTTATAATATAGTATATTATAATAGAAATACTAGATTAAACGTACTTTTAAATTACTAACGATATTAAGTTTAAAAAGAAGTAAAAAAAAAACTGAACAACTATTAAGCCGACTTGTACAAAAACAAAGGAAATGCGACTTAGATTTTAGGTTATAATTTAATACCAATGTCCAATATTATTATTGTGCTATTGCCTAATTGTAAATTTTATGAAATAATATAAAAATAAATCAAATAGATTTCGATGAAAACATTGTATACAGTGTAACCACAGATAAGATATCATGGCGAGTGAGTGTAACCAACAATGTATAACAATATTGTATAACATAACAATATTATTAACTACTCGATATGGCAACGACGTAACGCGAAACTCTCGTCACTCTTGATGCGATGTAATACGTACGTTACGTTASTAMCCAACACTGTGACTGTATGCACATGCACATTGCTCTTGCACATTATACCTCACAGAGCTCACAGTGAAATGTGAAATTTATGTCGAACAACACGATTCGAGTAGAATTGAACTCAACTATTTGGTACCTATTAGCAATATTCCGATATAGGTAGGGCATTGAAAGAAAAGTATTAAGCCGTCGGTAGTGGTACATAGGAAGATAATAAAATGTAACTCGGTAATAATGAGAGTCCGCAGAAGGCACGCAAATATCGATGAATGCACAAAATAGTTAAGTCCGACCCTGAAATCTCTGTACCGAGTATCGTATACGGTATGATGCACTGAACTAAGTACACTAATATTTACAATACGGATATAATTTAGTTTACTTGGATTGTGTACCTTTGAGAATCGTAGCCCTTGTAAGTCAACAGACATAATAAAAATGCCCATTAATATACAATATAATACACGAGATAATACAGGATAATTCAGGACTCAGAACTTTATAAAAAACAATGACATATGTGCTTACGTAGATACTTATGCAGTATGCACTAAAATAAATCACAAATATGTACTTTTTTTCAATAAAAGTTTTTTTGTAATTTGAATATTTAAAGTATCACAAGAATTCAACAACTATACAAAATCACAATTTGGTTCAAGTATTTACAAATAATAAAGTATAACATTAATCCATTATCTAGGCACCCCAACGAGTTATGTTTGTTTCTGGAGGTAAAGATATATTCGGACTGAGCTTAAGTTTTGAAAATTGAAATGAGTGCATGATGATGTTTTTTAAATATTTTTTTTCTCTTTAGCGGTTTGTAATGATTTTTTAACATTTTTAAACTATGTTTGTACTTTTTTCAAAACTCATTGGAGACCATGAGCCTTTAATAAATATATATTTTTATTGAAAAAATGGTAAATAAGTTCCTTGGCAATCGWAAAAATTGAAATTAATATTCTTTATTGTATTGAAAATTTGTTTTTATTTACAGGTTTATATTAAAATTTAAACATAAGGCCTATGAAAAATTATATAAATTTAGTAAAATAGGTATGTAAAAATATGTACCTATCGTGCATTTTAGATAATATTATTATGAAACGAAAATCAGATTTTGAAAAATGTGTGATTTTTTTGACACGACATGCTTGTAAATTCGTACAATTTATTTTTACAATTAATAGTACTGCACAGTATACACATTTAAATATAAGTTGTTTAGAAAAAATAACATCACACAATGTTCAAAATGTCTATGGTAGCACGTGCATCAAGCTATGAAAACAAGAAATTGGAATCTATGAACATAAGTCCAGTATAAAAGGTTCCGAGAGAAAAATTCCGGTTTATTCATATATATATATATATTTATAAGTTAATTATAAGTTTATGTACGCAATATTATACTTTTATATGATATATGGAATAAAAAAGGTAGGAATCCGGGAGTATAAAAAGATAAAGGGTATGAGGGTATGAATATGATAAAACATTTCATTTATAAGTTTGAAAAATCATTTTTCAACTCCTTTAGTCGATCGCATACAGTACATATTGGACTTAATACAAAATATTGACATAATTTATAATTATATTGACAAAACATTATAATGTCTTATTGTAATTTTTATCGATTTAAGTTGAAAAATGTATGTGCTAATAAACCGGACATTTAGATAGAATTTCAAATTGCACGTATCATCATGATTCATAGATTCGTGATCTATCTTATCCAGCCATGTTGTCACTCATAGGATTCGATTTAGGACGCCAAACTTTTTACACGATGGATGTCGTCATGTCGAGCATTTTTTGTTTTAGTTTAGGTATATAAGTTATAGGTCACAGTGGCGTAAAATATATATTTACCAATGACAATAATCTGTCATAAATGATTTTAGGYGGTAAGAGGCCATGAGGGTTACTTTTATCATTCTAAATATATTATGATAATTGTACTAGATATTATAATTATTGTGAACTAAAAGTCTATAATATAACATAAAAACTATACTTGGTGTTTAGTAAGGTAGTTATAAAAAATAGGTGGGTGTTAAAATTGTATGTGGATTTAAATTTTAATCGAATGTCATAGGTAAAATTTAACATTTTGGCGCAACTGATAGGACATACATAGCACATAGGTAAAGCTATTGTTCTATGGTAAAGCATAAGTACATTTTGCATTGTATATATTATCATGATGTATGACAAAGGTCGAGTATTATTCTCGTTCGCATAATTTCTTTATACAATGTATGCATCATTTCTTTACGATGCGCAGACATCAAGTACATCACGACAGACGACAGTATAATATTGTACTATTTGAATATTATTTCGAGTTAGTTTCAATACCTCCCGATATTTTGTGTACAGATAAAATATGTTATAAATAGGTATTGAGAAAAAAAGTAATGGAAATGAATTCCAAATGTATTATTCACCTTACATATCAAAACACGTGTTATTTTTTTAATATTATCAGTGGCGTAGCCTTTTTTTATGAAATATAGGGGGGTAAGTATAAATTAAATCAAATTCTTACAGTTTTCGTACATAAATAATATACTTATTAGTTATTATGAAGGGAAATGTTAATCTGWAGGTAGATGGTTAAAAATCCAATTWATCCAAATCCCCAGGTTACGCCACTCCATATTATAGTATAAGGCCTGAGCTATACAACATGTATCCGTCGAGTATTCCGCCAAAACGCAAGCTGACGGGCATTTTCTACCACGGATTTACACGCGGCGTATTACATCTATCGTGTAAAGCTACTTCAATATAAAACAATGAGTTTTTAATTTAATGGAAAACGCAATGTATAGCCTAGGCCTAATACTATAATAGAGTATAATAGACAATAGACTTTTATGTAATATAATTAAAATACACCTACTTCTGTGTTCTGTCTATTCGTCGTCTTGTGACTTTGTGAGAATATGTGTTGTTTATTTCTTTTCTATCGTATAACAATAATACATTAATTTTTAGTGAATTATAACTGTAACACGGAGCTCTGTATAGGCTACATTAGTGCCGCGAGTMCAAAACAATTTAACGTGGTAGCATATATTTTGGTAGCTGTGCTGCAGGCYGAGTCGCTTGTGAATATTGTGATATCAATTTATATTCGTCACTCTACAGCTGATATTAACGACRAACAATCAATATTGCGCYTGCGCGTGATAATAGTCGTACCAACCGTGTGCACGAAGCGTGAAGTAAATTATTTATTGTGCTTATGCGCATTAGCCCCAATTCCTCTTGGTTTTTTTGGCTTCAAACATTTAGGCAAGAGCTTGCTGTATGGCTCTATCCACAATTTAAAATATTCTGAATATATATGCATAACTTAAATTGTGGCTCTATACCACGGTTTAAGGTAAAATATTTTATCTCGATGTAACCAAACTTCATGAAACGTGTTGACATACAATGATTACGAGATAGCGTTGTTTGTCGTACGCCGTCGTCGCATTCTCGGCCGGTAGTGACCACGCCTATCACCTTTACGATGGGGTCCACGCGTCGTAATCGCGAGAGGGGCACATTAATACTTCACGGGCGGTGGCTTAGAGCGTTTCACATCATTGACCGTTGAGTTTTTCACCGATTTTTATTAAAATCCAATGTTATATTTATATCACTTATTTACTCTACGTACTAGCAGGCGGCGTGCTCGCTCCTACCTCTGTCTCAAGTCACAATATATTATTAAATTATTTACCAATATTAAAGATTTTTTTATCTTAAATATTTTTAATAATACATTGAGTACACTATTATATATT